GAAAATAGCAAAAGGAAATACATATTCATGTTTCTAAATTATACACATCATTACAAAGCCAATCAATTTAATCCATTCTTTCAACAGGACTAAGAAGCAGAGCCACATGGTTATATTAGCTGATGCAGGAAGGACAGTTGGCAAAACTGAACGTCCTCTTGTGATTTTAAAAGTAACTTATCAGATTTAAAAAATATTGTATGAAAAAAATTGATTTTCCATTTTTTTAAAAAAAGGTGCCAGAAGTCCGTGATCTGACCTGTAGAACTGGAAAGCAGTCGTGACTGTTCGGAAGAATTTTCTTTTATGAGCTGACAACTGTGCCTAACCCGACTGCAGGTTCATGTTCCACACGCCAACTGTAGTAGCCTTCTCCTCACTGAATAATGTCTAAAGGAATTTAAGAAAGTGAGCTCATACTTTTAAGAAAAACATAGCAAACAAACAAACAAAATGACTTGGAAAAATTTAGGCCTAGGCGATGCCCTCAAGCTGGAAACAAGGCTGCAGAATCCTACAATTAACACAGTTGGTGCTGGAAGAATGAGTACTTTTCCCCTAAAGTGCAGAACACAGCAAGCTGGCTTATTCTCTCGGGTCTTACTCAGCATGGGCACAGTGATGGAAGTTCCAGCCTATGTAGTCAGACAAGAAAATAAAATTACAGGCTACAGATCGCAAAGGAAAATATACAACCAACTCGATTTAGATGGCATTGATGTCTTTGTGTGAAATCACAATGAAAGTTTTTAAAGGACAGCAAACAATGCAAGTAGATAACACCGACAAAGAACTAACAGATGGGTTTGGAAAGGTTACAGGACATGTTGAAACACACAATTCGATGTATTGGTCTGCTTTGGGAATGAGAAAGAAGACACTGAAATGTAAAATGAAGTATCATTTCTAGTCACTCAAAATACTTATAAATCTAACAAAGCGTGTGTCAGGCTCATTCATTGTAACAGTAGTGAAATAAATCAAGGGAAGTGGAGGGACGTGCCCTATTCTTGAATTCAAACATAACATAAAAATCAGTGTCCATTCTTCCTAAATTGACGCGCAGGGTTATTTGACTCCTATCAAAATCCCAGCAAGAATTTTTATAGACACTGACAGTCATATTCTAAAGCATATATGGGAGTAAGAGGAGGAAATAAAATGGGAGAAAAGAATAAAATGGGGGGAAACTTCTTTTCTATTTCTGGATTATAGCTGCAATAATCAAGACTGTGTGTGGTGGAGACAAACAGACAGACCAGTGAAGTCAGAAGTGGATTCACATGGATCTGAAGCAATGCAGAAGAAAAGACCTTGCCACAGACATTAGATCAGTTAGACATCTCTAGGCAAAAATCATCAGCCTCAACCAAAGTCTTGCATCTTATACAAAAATTAACTATAAAAGTCTTGTGAATCAAAAAATAGTGATAAAAATATAAGGCCATTAGAGAAAATCAGTAGAACATCATTAACATTTAGGGCTCAGGAAAAGCTCTTACATTAATGATTGGAACATAAGAGTAAAAGTTTGGACATCACCAAAGCTGAAAACTTTTGCCCTACAGTAATTGTCTTAGGAGGATGAAAAGGGCAATTTTATACTATGAGAAACTGTGGGGTTTGCAAGCCACATATTTAACAGAATCATGTATGTGTGTACTGGCTCTTAGAGTCTGGAGTTATAATGGTTTTATTATGCTGTGTTTGGTGTTCTACATTCCTGTTTCTAATTCTCCTTGGTCGCTCCAAAAGGACTGAGGATCTGTCAATATGAGCCTGCCCCAGTGGCTTTGGCGAGCTTTGTTTCCCATTTTTGGAATAGATTCCAGAGCCTCTGTCTCCTGCTTCAGTGTGACTCGCTTGGTTCCAGAGATGGTCTGTTTGCTCTTTTCTCGTTGCTTTAGAATTTCCTCTATCTCTTGCCTGCATGCATTCTTCTTGGCTTAGTCTCTCATTTTGGTGAACTTTTCCCTTCATTACTTTTCTTGCCAAAATTATAAAGCCAGAATATGAAAGTTAAGGACACTGGCACTATTCTGGTGGCATGTAAATTGTTTAGAACACACACACACACACACACACACACACACACACACACACTGTGGAAATTTTCCTGCGTGATCTATTACAAAGACCCCTAGAGGCCCAGTAGCTCCATTCAGGGGTCTGTTTATCCTCAAATGAAATGCTGTGTGTGTGTGTGACTTGAAATGCAGAATGGCTAGCAGCTTTACTCTTAACTACTGTCTGTTGCTGTCAAAACACACCACGGCCTCAGCAACTCTTATTAAGAAAACATTTAATTGGGATGACTCGCATGCAGTTTCAGAGGTTCGGTCCATTATTGTCATGGGGAGCATACAGCATACAGGCAGATGTGATGCAGGAAGAGCTGAGAGCTGTACATCTCACTTGCAACAGGAAGTTGCATGGCTGCCATGCTAAGGGAGTCTTAAGCCAGAGGCATCAAAGTCACCCCCCCCCCCCGGTGACACACTTCCTCTAACAAGGCCACAGTAGGTTAGGCATAAAAATAAAGTGTATTCATGCCATTTAATAGGATGACAAGGAGCATCACTCTCCTCATCTAAATATAGTAACATTCTCAGATTGCATAAAATTAGTGAAATTAATCAAAGTGTCTTTGGTAAAAATATACAGACTGAAGTGTGCAAGTGATCCCCAAGACAAGGAGGGAGGTGATAAGCTTCCTGGCCCAGAAGAGGAGGCCTGCCTGGGTTTGCCTTGAACACTTCTCTTTCACAAAATGTGTGTTCTCTTTCACAAAATGAATGGTGAAGGCAATGGGCAAGGTTGAAGACGGACTCCATCTCCTAAAACGTGATGCTATCTTATGACACACCCCACAGACAGCAGTGTCTGAGTCCAGCATCCCCTAGGGAGAATTGGTGAAGATGCAGGTGAGCTTGAATGCCTATGCCCTTTGTTGGTAGAGGTTTCATTTGGATAGTTTGAAAACTATTAGCCTTTTCATAACGTCATGTGTGCTTGTACCAATGGGAAAAACAAATATATAGCTATACTCTATGAATCTCCTGCTGAGGCCTGGGGTGGGCCCTTCAATTCCCCAGAATTTAGTCGTGTCTCTTTGGAAGATAATTAGTTCTGGAAGGAGGGTGCAGAAGCACAAAGCCTAGGTAGGGAAGTTGAGGCTCAGCGCTCCCATCCAATCCCTTTTGTTCACATTGGGTGGTGAGAGCAAGCCACAAAATCCCCAGTCCCCAGTCTTGAGGGTGACCTGGGATGCATCTGAAGCTGTTCTCCTGTAGATTGATGTGGAGATGCTGGGGATACAAGCTTGCACACGAGGAAAGCAAAGGCGTAAAGAAAGACGCTCTATGGATAAACACTTGGAAGCCTAGGTAAGCAGTGTGGCAGGAGAGTTAAAGGAGCTTGGTGTGGGCGTTGTCCAGGGACACAGCCCAAATGGAAAGGCAACTTGACATCTGGGGACCAGAGCTCCATACCTGCAGGGGGCATGCCTTGTAGGAAGAGCCAGCCCCTGATGAATCCCTGCGCATTCCTTAGCTCTGCGGATGTGGTGGATGCGTCCTGCCCACATCCACTGATTAGGAATGACAGGCATGATACATGGATGCCTATGGCACCATCCTTCGCAGTACATCATACGATGAAAACTCATTTGTTACAGTTACAACAGGCCAATATTTGTCTGAAAATAACATAGGCACTTTGAGTCACCCGGTGTGAAGCATTTGTCAGGATTTATTGGAAGTGGGCACCTGCTAGTCTGAGGGAAAGAATTTGTTTCATGTTACATCAGCTTTGAATAAAATCCCACAGGTTTAAGTGACTGTTTTTTGTTTAGGCATTTTATATCCGGGTTTGCTTTTCTTTTCTTTTTAAAATCCCATTTCTACTCAGGCACTGGCAAATCTGTTCTTTTTCTTATAGCAGAGAACCTCATACCTTATTTCCTGCTTTGCCACTGTTTTTTTTTTTTTAAGTTCTATGAATGCATTTGTTTCCTCCCATGGCCATTAATTTTCTGAGCTATTTTAATTTATTCAGAATCCCCTGACAGTGACCGTTCGTGTAGTATGACAACAAGCTGTAACTCCAGGGAAGCAAAACGACTGTTGGGTAGAGGTGGGGATGGGGAACCCCACCGAGCCTTGAAGATTAAGATGGGCTGCAGACTGATGGATGGAAAGGACGTCCAGGAACCGTGGAGTGATGGAGAAATTTCTGGCCGTGAGAGAAGAACGAGGCAAAGCTCATCTCTACAGCGCAGTAAATGCCTGAGTACCTTTCAGATTGCAGTTATTCTTGTAGCTCACCTGCAGTTCATGCAACTTAAAGACTCCTTGAAAAATAACGTTCCTCTCTTTCTGCGCGCGCGCGCGCGCGCGTGTGTGTGTGTGTGTGTGTGTGTGTGTGTGTGTGTGTGTGAAGACATACACATGCGCCACCAGAGGGCAACCTTGGGAATCTGTCCTCCCCTTCCACCTTGCTTAAGACTGTATCTCTAGTGGAGGGAGGGGGAACTGTGGCTGCAATGTATTGTATGAGAGAAGAATTTTCTCAAGATAGATTATAAGAACCTATGTTCTTTGTTGCTGTCCACACCAAACTGGCTTGCCTGTGGGCTTCAGGGACTCTCCTGCCTCTGCCTCCCATTCTGCTATAGGAACACTAGGGTTATAGGCATGTACTACCTTGCCTAGCGTCCCCCAGACTCTAGGGATTCAAACTCGGATACCAGTGTGCATGTGGCTCCCCTTACCCGCTGAGCCAGCTCTTCAGTTCCGCTTTCTTTTTTAATGATTGCTTTGAAAAGAGAAGTTGAAGTGATTCATGGTGGCACTCATGGCCTTGGTCAATGAAAATTGTTTTAGCTGTCCTGATATGTTTCCAATGGAGCCATTTCACGTGTCCTTGCTATGCTATCTCAGAGCATACTTCGGAGGCCACATTGCCACGCTAACGCAAGACTTGTCTGTGTTCCTGTTTAGATAAAGTTCGACAGCGTGGAGGTGTGCGTCTGCTGCGAGCTGCAGCACCATTCATCCGGATGCAGCAACCTCGGGGAGACCCTGAAGCTGAACCCGCTGCAGGAGAACTGCAACGCTGTGCGGCTGACCTTGAAGGTGAGGCTGGGCGGTGCCTGTTGCAGGGCTCTTCCGGCGAGACCGGAAGGAAGATTTATTAGCATAGCGAATCCTTTCAGCTCCTGACTCATCCAGGTGGCTGGATGCTGAGCATCACCCTTCCGGGAAAAGTATTTTAAAGCGTTGTAGATTGTCCTTTGGAAGCTCTGATTTCTGGGTCCCCGCTTCCATCTTTGCCAGTCATTTTCCTGCCTCTGACAAATCAAAGTAGGGCAAGAATGGCTGGAAGAGCGCTTCACAGATGAGCTTACCGTGATTACAGCCTCTGCTGTGACTCCATCAAGGTCTACATGGTGATTCTTTTGACTTCTAAAATGATATGTAGGGCTGGTGAGATGGCTTGGTGAGTGCAGACCCTTGACATCAAGATAGTGACCTGAGTTAGAACCCCAGAGCCCACAGGGAAGGAGGAGAGAACTAACCCCAGAACAATGTCTTCTTTCCTCCTCACACACAGTGGCATGCTCATGCAACCAATATATAAATGACAAATAAATAAACAAACAAGCAAAGGTAACTAAATGATAAAGGAAGAAATCTTCTAATCGCCCATGGTTCTTACATAAAGCGTTTGATCCTTTTTTAAGGGAGTATATTTTCCGGGCACGATGACGATCCTTTAATCCCAGCACTTCAGAGGCAGGTGGATCTCTGTCAGTTCCAGGCCAGCCTGGGCCAGCCAGTGAGATCTGTCTCAAAGAAAAAGTGGGGAGGACACATGGAAATGCCATCTATATTATTCTCTGGGGGCCCCCCCCCCGTCTGTCTTCTTTCAAGGGCTATTTTACTGAAAACCCAAAGTGGCTTCTTAAAAATACAGTCAACCCAGTCCTTTCCTTGGCCTGACTGGAAGTGGCTGAAATGTTTAGAAAGCTGTACTGCCATCAAAGGGCCTCTTTGTTGGTGGTGAGACTGTTTACAGTGGAGAACTCTAGCCTATGGCAGGAAACGACTTATGTGGACCACAGGCTCCAAATAAGTCCAAATAAGATGCTCCAGCCTGGGGAGAAGAAGGACAGTAGCCACATGGGATGTACCTATGTTCGGTTTGGAGGTAGTTTCCCCAATACCTGCTCTATCCACATGGGGAAATGGGCCAGCTTCTGGCTCCTAGTACCCACCAAAGTGATAGCCCGTGAGAGCGGGGGAAGCCAGAGCTGCAGGTTCGCAGGGAGGCTTCTCGGGTCCCAACTATTTCTTGTGGCCCTCCATTACATACCTTCATAGTCCACGCATCTCATATGCTGGGGTCTGCTCAGGAGCAGTGTCCAGTGCCTGCATGGCCATTCATAGCCCACTGCAATGGGGAGTGAATGGACTTTGCTTACTCTAAAATCTCTTTCTGATATCGTGTAAGCTAGTGCTTGAGCCCAGGTATGCTTTCTCTCTGCATGTAAAGAACATAATCAGGTAATGACAGAGATGGTATGACCACCACCTCCTGGAAAACCCAGCAAACCAGGGCATCTCGGGCTCTGGGGACCACTTGTGTGTGTCACTTTATGGCACTATAAAAGATATCCATGTGATCTACTTGGAAGAGGAAAGGTTTAGTTTGTTGTATAGTTTTAGAGTTTCAAGTGTGTGATCAAATAATGCCTTCTGCTCTGGGCTGTGGTGTGCCTGCACAGCATGGCAGGAGCGTGCCCTGCGACAGAGCCACTTACCTCACCACAGGCAAGGGAGTGGAAGCAAAAGAGGAAAGATCAGGCTCCCACAATCCCCCAGGACGGTTTCTACCAGTGACCCGAGGACTCCTGAAGTCTTGCCTCCTAAACCCCCAAGCTTTTAATATTTACTTATCTTTATTTTGTACATACAAATATAAAATTGCCTGTATGTTCCTGGTGACCACAGAAGCCAGAGCAGGGTGGAACAGGAATTATAAATGGTTATGAACTGCCATGTGGGTGCTGGGAATCGAACTCTGTTCCTCTATAAGAGTAGCAAGTGCTCTTAACTGCTAAGCCATCTCTCCAGCCCCAAGGATCCAGCTTCTAACAGTGAACCATCGGCAAACATTTAGCCAAACCGTCCTGCTATGTTATAAGCTAATGGGTTATAAAGTCTTTGGTCTGCTGCCCCAAGGCCCTGGACATCCTCCTGAGATCTTTACTCAGTGAGACGCAGGGTCTACTTACATAAAACCCTCCAAGGAGATGTGAATTGAAGTTTGGGAATGATGTTTTCTCTAAGGTGCAGGCTGAAGTCTGGGATGGCCGGGACTGTGAAGTCTCATCCTTGTGCACTGTCCGTTGATGAGGAGAGGCAATGGGAAATTTGTTTATGGAGTAGCCAAATGGGATGAAGTCCAGGAACTCAAGCCAAGGCTGGCTAGCACAGCTGACTGTTTGAACCTTGTCAATGGCTCTTCCTCATCTGGATGCAGATACCCCTGATACTGATAAGAGTTGAAGACAAAAGAAAGGCTCTCCCAAACTGCTTATTGATCCTTTTTGCAAAATACACTCAAGGTAGAAGGCTCAGGGGAGACAGAGTTGATGATCATGGTGGTGGGGTGATGATCTAGTCATAGCAATGACTGGAATTAGGAGAAGGGGCCCTTGCCCCACCCCCAATGGAGGTCCCTATAGGGAATAGTGGTGCTGGGATAAGAGCTGGCTTTTGCCTGAGAGCAGCGAGATGGAGACTATGGGACGCAACTGTCTGTGGCTTCTTGCTGTCTTCCAGTTTTGTTATTTTTCCAAACTTGTTTCTATTATCCTAGGTTCTCAGCATTTCCATATATATTTTAGAACAAGCTTGTCAGTTTCTATGGCGGTCCTGCTGGGATTTTGATTGAGATCGTGTGGAACCCACACATTATTTTGAACAGGTCTACTTAGGTCTCCTTTTATTCCAACAGTGTTTATTATCTTCATCAGCATGTAATTTTCAGTTTATAGATCTTCACACATTTTGAGTTATTTATCCCTTTTCCCCATTTATTGGTGCCATTTTCATAATACTTCAGAATCGTCTCTTATTGTTATATCTGAATTTGATGCTTGCTACTGATCTTGTGTCCCGTGGTCTTGCTAAAGTCAGTTTCTAGCAGTAGGGACTCTTTGGTAGCTGATCCTTTGTAATGTCGAGGTCGTTTTACATCTCCTATTCTGTGTTAGCCAGGGGTCTCTAGAGAACAGACCCGGCAGGACACTTATAGACATAAATACAGTCAGGGGGGTTTTCCGATGGGCACCGAGAAGCCTCACAGCAGGCTGTCCACAAGTTGAAGACCCAAGGAGTCTGGCAATGAAGTTCAGTCTAAGCAAAAAGCTTCCGGATCAAGGAAACAGATTACAACCTTCAGTGGCATAGGTCCTGGCGTTCAGAGTGCTGAGAGTTCTCTGATGTCGCAGGCAGGACATCAGGACTGAGAATGGGGACCTCACCTTCATGTTTTGCTGTGTCTGAAGCTTAGGCTGATTGGATGGTGCCCTATCCACACTGAGAATGGACTTCCCCACTTGTTCCACTGACTTGTGATCAGCTCTCCTTCATAGACACACCTGGGATCAGGGGTTTACTGGTTCTCTGGGCATTCTTCACTCAGTCCATCAACCACTTCACACCCCAGTCTAGATGGCTCACTCACCTTCCTGGCTTTATTTATTTATTTATTTTGCTATAACCAGGAACTTCAGAACACTGCCGAATGGAGGTGGGAAGGAGGATCACACATTTTTTTTCCTGCTCCTGACATTAAAGCTTATAAATACTGCTTATTCCAAATTGCCCAGTGATTCCCATCAGTGGGTAGTAAATTCCACTCCCATCCATGAGAGGATGTTGTTGTATTTTGTCGTCCTCTTACAGCCTCTATGTAGGTCATCTGCTTATAGAAACCAGGCTCTCAACAAACCAAATACCAGGTATTGTATTCCAGCAGGCAGAGGACATAGCTAAAGCTCTGGAGTCCAACCCCACCCTACAGTTTGTTTTCCAGCTTCTATAGTTTGAGCCACGGTGTTGAATTCCGTCTATGTAACCGTCAGTCGTCTCTGGATTCTGTCTGTGTGAGCATCCCTGGGTGGTCCCTAGGTCCTTGGCTACTGAAGGGAAGTTTCTATTGCGGTTTAAGCACAGGTAGAGGTGCAGCTATTGCGGACAGCCCTTAGGTCATTCTTTAGTAAATGGGCTCTTGCAGTTTAACAGGATAGCGGTGCCAAGCATGTCTTAAGACGTCTTTGCGAGCATGCTTTGCAAACCTTTGCTTCCTTGAGATAAGAGGAAAGGGATTCCGCTGAAACAGGCAGGAGTACAAGCAGAGCTCAGGAAAATTTGAGCACATCTTAATCCCCCAGCTCTCCTTAATCCTGTGGCTCTCAGGCAGAAAGAAGGAAGCCTCCCTAGTGCCGGCAGCAGCACAACAGAATACTAAACGTTTAGCACATGTTCTTCTTTTCCCCTTTGATCGTACGCTCTCATTGTCTGCAGTCTGATGGCGTGGAAAGTGACTTCTCTGTGCTGAGCCAACCTGACACCCCAAACTCTCCTCAGTCACTTCCCATGGTTATACTGATGGTCCTAGAGCGTTTTTCATTTCTTTGACTTTTTTTTTTCAAGACAGGGTCTTACAGTGTAGCTTAGGCTGGCCTTGAACTTTGGTGATCTTCCTGCCTCAGCCTTTCGACGGCTAGAACTTTCATGGATGAGCCACTACTCCTGGCAGGCCACTGTTCCCTATTTGTAGTATTTCCACTAGACCGGTTCTTCTTGCTTTCATCTGTCTGGTGACTTACCTGTGTGGTCCTGTTCATTGCCCATCTTTTCCGCTAGAGCTGGTGTTGGACTGCATTTGCTCCAAGCTGGCTCTCATATTTCTCCTTGGAGATTCCCTCTTTCTTTTAGAATTTGGTGGGTTGCCCTGTAACCTGAAGCACAAATGGGCTCAACTTCAGTTGGGATTTTGCAGTACCCTGTATCCTGTTCTAACTGTAAAGCGCTGCTTTTGCCAGTTTTCTCTGTGAGGTGTA